TCTTGCTATTCCTGCTCCCTACGTTCTACAATACTCCTAACTAAATTTACGTGTCCCTAAAAACCTTCATTTTCCCCTGGACACCGTTGAAATCGTGGAAAATTCGTCCGGTCGCATCGCTCAGATTATTGCACGCGCACCTTTTCAGCGTAGCTTTTCAACGAAGTGTATCAACGGGAATACATCCTGAATTCAACTTTCGGAAGATAATGTGAACGATATAATGAACAACCGCCGCGTTCGTTTGCAATGGTCATTACAGTTGCGTCGATTTGAGAATGTTCAGCGTTGTATTACCACTTCCTGACTTCGAAACAGGTGTTCCATTCTTCCTATTGAAACTTCCTCGCGAGCGAATCGTGGAAAAGCAAGGCAGGAAGGGAGAGGGGTTCTGCTCGTTACACAGGTGAATCGATACGCGACACGATCCGTGAGATTTGAATGGCGAAGAAATGGTTTCGGGGGTGATACGTGCGTGCAAACAGAGGGTATCTTTTTTTTGCGGTGAAAAGGAGAACGGAGACACAGGGGACGAGGCGGACACGCTCGTTCGCGTGGAAAGAATGGAAGAATTAGTTTTGGATCGGGCTTTCGATCGTGAGAGAGCTGCCGAGCAGGCAGCGCAAACGGAAGCTTGACTCGTACACGGTAATCTCGCCGAGATACGCCAAACATTTTCTCTTAATTAAGAAAGGACGTGGCCGTAATTAAGTTTCCCTTCCACGTTATTCTCCTGCCTCGTTTCAACCGCGTTACTTTAACCGCGACGTCAAAACAGAGCGCTCGTTCAATGGCTCAGAACGATGACTTCTTTCTGGTAATTATTGCTGTACGTCGAAACCGGCGTTCGCCGAGCAATTTCTCTGGCAAATTTGATAACGATATTGTCGGCCCGTTTACGTAAATTTGTGCCAGCTTGAGTTCAGCTTGTTATAGATTTCGACGAATTTTTTGGGAGCACAAATTTTTTGAAATTAGTGAAAGGTTTTCATGTACTCGTTATTGAAGTTTGAACGTTTGTGCAATTTTGTGATATGGAAAAGCATACACTAGAGCAACGTTGATATTTCTTATCTCGTAGATAAATGTACCATAGCACAATTAGCGAGATTGCAAGACTTTTTATACTCGTGTGTTTTGCATACTGCGATGCGCAATGATTGCGTAAACAGCGACAGTCTAATATTATACACTATCAATATACATCACGCTATAATGCATATAATACATATTACACCTTATCATAAATTCAAACCTAAAAAGAGAGCGTCTAAAACACGATCCTACAAAAGGTCTCATAAGTCAACGAATAAATTCTTCATTTCTAAATTGTTCGCATTTATTTTCCATGCGACCAGAAAATGATACGATACTTTTTAAACGATACAGCGATTTACGGTCCATTCTGTGCAAATGTTCGTCTATGATTCGAATACAAAGTATCAGAAAACGCGCCTGTGTCCGTGAAACTTCAATAAAGTAACGCAATTGTCAGCGATCATTCCGAGAAACGTTTACGATCCCTTTCGTCCACCTAGCTTGCTATCAGGCATTCCCTCGCGATAACGCTATCGAGAGCGTAGCGTTAATTTAGCAATCAAACCAGATAATATTACAATTCCGCGCGTCGACTCGGTGCTTGTAGTTCTTGTTCGGTTTTATCGGGCCCGGTCGATCGACTTCGCGATAGCAGAGAGCCTCACCTGAACAATACCGGTGTGTTATCGCTCGCTCGCTCGCTCGCTCGCGACGACGACGACGACGAGGACGAGGACGCGAGCGTAACGCGCTCTGTCACGGCCGGTAATCGACAGTCTGGAAAGTTCGATGATTCCCGCGACTCAGCCGTCGCATCCGCCTAGATTGCATTCCCTAGATAGAGTTAACGCTAGCCTGAGGTAATGTTCTCATTGGTATACTTCGTTAATAAGTAATCGAAAAAGGTATGCGGGCAATTTGAAATTTTAATCTGAACATTGGAAAATTCCACCGAACCGACCTTACCGGACAAAGTTTTCATGTTTTTTATGGTTTTTACGGGAAAATAGAGGATTTTTCGGATGGGTAAATTTAGTATGGGGTATTGGAGAATGTATGGTGGAGGTATTGTAAGGATTTGACACCGTGGAAGTGTAAATGGAGAGAATTCTAGCGCAAGTGTGTCACTTTGTTGGTATACCCTCTGTAGATAACTGTTAAGTATTTCTTGCATTTGGCTGTATCTGTTTTAGCAATAGTAGGTAAAGAGGGATTTCTATTATTGACTGTTGGTCATGTAATATCGCCTGTAGGTAAGCCAGAACTGTATGATGACTTTTTCTCTGTCTGCGTTCATATATTCTATTCTTAAAGAAGTAGTCTATATTGTCGACACTATTTTCGCTCCAATTTCAAATATTGAGAATTTTGGCATGTCTGGGAAGTGATTGACTTACACTACTTGCTGATTCCAAAAATGTTCTGAATTATTTGGAATAATCATTACTAAGGCACATCTTACTATCTAAAAGTCTTATCATTTCTTCAGAACTCTCTCCATCTCGCAATACTCACACGTGAAAGTGAAAAAACTACATATGTATTACCATCTACAGATAAAGTGTGATCAGCAGTAGGCAAATTACCATTTGTCACTAAATCAGAGAATATCTACAGATTCCTATCATACCAGAAATCGGTAAATCCCATCCAAAACTTAAATTACTCCCCAAAAAACACAAAAAATACAATTTTGCAAAAGGCGGTGAAAAGGAGAACGGAGACACAGGGGACGAGGCGGACACGCTCGTTCGCGTGGAAAGAATGGAAGAATTAGTTTTGGATCGGGCTTTCGATCGTGAGAGAGCTGCCGAGCAGGCAGCGCAAACGGAAGCTTGACTCGTACACGGTAATCTCGCCGAGATACGCCAAACATTTTCTCTTAATTAAGAAAGGACGTGGCCGTAATTAAGTTTCCCTTCCACGTTATTCTCCTGCCTCGTTTCAACCGCGTTACTTTAACCGCGACGTCAAAACAGAGCGCTCGTTCAATGGCTCAGAACGATGACTTCTTTCTGGTAATTATTGCTGTACGTCGAAACCGGCGTTCGCCGAGCAATTTCTCTGGCAAATTTGATAACGATATTGTCGGCCCGTTTACGTAAATTTGTGCCAGCTTGAGTTCAGCTTGTTATAGATTTCGACGAATTTTTTGGGAGCACAAATTTTTTGAAATTAGTGAAAGGTTTTCATGTACTCGTTATTGAAGTTTGAACGTTTGTGCAATTTTGTGATATGGAAAAGCATACACTAGAGCAACGTTGATATTTCTTATCTCGTAGATAAATGTACCATAGCACAATTAGCGAGATTGCAAGACTTTTTATACTCGTGTGTTTTGCATACTGCGATGCGCAATGATTGCGTAAACAACGACAGTCTAATATTATACACTATCAATATACATCACACTATAATGCATATAATACATATTACACCTTATCATAAATTCAAACCTAAAAAGAGAGCGTCTAAAACACGATCCTACAAAAGGTCTCATAAGTCAACGAATAAATTCTTCATTTCTAAATTGTTCGCATTTATTTTCCATGCGACCAGAAAATGATACGATACTTTTTAAACGATACAGCGATTTACGGTCCATTCTGTGCAAATGTTCGTCTATGATTCGAATACAAAGTATCAGAAAACGCGCCTGTGTCCGTGAAACTTCAATAAAGTAACGCAATTGTCAGCGATCATTCCGAGAAACGTTTACGATCCCTTTCGTCCACCTAGCTTGCTATCAGGCATTCCCTCGCGATAACGCTATCGAGAGCGTAGCGTTAATTTAGCAATCAAACCAGATAATATTACAATTCCGCGCGTCGACTCGGTGCTTGTAGTTCTTGTTCGGTTTTATCGGGCCCGGTCGATCGACTTCGCGATAGCAGAGAGCCTCACCTGAACAATACCGGTGTGTTATCGCTCGCTCGCTCGCTCGCTCGCGACGACGACGACGACGAGGACGAGGACGCGAGCGTAACGCGCTCTGTCACGGCCGGTAATCGACAGTCTGGAAAGTTCGATGATTCCCGCGACTCAGCCGTCGCATCCGCCTAGATTGCATTCCCTAGATAGAGTTAACGCTAGCCTGAGGTAATGTTCTCATTGGTATACTTCGTTAATAAGTAATCGAAAAAGGTATGCGGGCAATTTGAAATTTTAATCTGAACATTGGAAAATTCCACCGAACCGACCTTACCGGACAAAGTTTTCATGATTTTTATGGTTTTTACGGGAAAATAGAGGATTTTTCGGATGGGTAAATTTAGTATGGGGTATTGGAGAATGTATGGTGGAGGTATTGTAAGGATTTGACACCGTGGAAGTGTAAATGGAGAGAATTCTAGCGCAAGTGTGTCACTTTGTTGGTATACCCTCTGTAGATAACTGTTAAGTATTTCTTGGATTTGGCTGTATCTGTTTTAGCAATAGTAGGTAAAGAGGGATTTCTATTATTGACTGTTGGTCATGTAATATCGCCTGTAGGTAAGCCAGAACTGTATGATGACTTTTTCTCTGTCTGCGTTCATATATTCTATTCTTAAAGAAGTAGTCTATATTGTCGACACTATTTTCGCTCCAATTTCAAATATTGAGAATTTTGGCATGTCTGGGAAGTGATTGACTTACACTACTTGCTGATTCCAAAAATGTTCTGAATTATTTGGAATAATCATTACTAAGGCACATCTTACTATCTAAAAGTCTTATCATTTCTTCAGAACTCTCTCCATCTCGCAATACTCACACGTGAAAGTGAAAAAACTACATATGTATTACCATCTACAGATAAAGTGTGATCAGCAGTAGGCAAATTACCATTTGTCACTAAATCAGAGAATATCTACAGATTCCTATCATACCAGAAATCGGTAAATCCCATCCAAAACTTAAATTACTCCCCAAAAAACACAAAAAATACAATTTTGCAAAACTTTATTACAAAAAACCCTCAGCTAACAAACGTTCTTCGGAATGTTGGGCCTGCAGACAGGCTCGACCACGGTCACTGCCTCTCCACAGGGTGGACAAGGAGGGGCACACGGGTCGCAAGGTAGTGCTGCAGGGCAACAGGCGCAGCTTGCAGGCGCGCAAGAGATCTTGGGCTCGCAGGGTGTGCAGGGTAGACAGGGTTGGCAGGGTTGAATGCAGACCGGTTTACAATCGACCTCGCATACGTACTGCATCTCGAAGGGCAGGTCGTTTCGCACGGTGAGGCACTTGCCTTGGATTAGGTAGCAGTAGGACAATGCAAGAACCGGGTTGCCGCTGTAGGGTAGATCGTGAGGATCGGGCACATGTCCGTACATGTCGATGTGCGTGTATTTTAAGGGTGAACAGCTACAAGCACCGTGCTGCAATCGATACGAGTAGGGGTATGAGAAAGTGTGCAGGGAGGGATGGGAGGGCGGGCTAAATGAGGCTTTAAACGTCATTGTAATGGAAAAGCTTTTTAATCTGCCATTAATGCCTCCTCGCGGTACTTATGTCGAGTTGATCGCCCATAAAAAATTCATCTGAATGTTCGTGGGGCGGGAAGGAGGGGACCACGGTGGATCGGATATCGGTATAATGCAATCTGTAAACTTTGTGTATCGCTATCGACAGAAAAGTTTCCAAGGCGGTGTAACGCTTTCGGGTAGATCAGACGAAAGGAGTGAAGAAAGTTTCCTCTATTTATGGTTCATTTCGCGTGTCAGCTTGATTTTAGCGTTACCGTTCGTAGCTTCTGAAGTCTAATAAAAAAAAAGGAAAAGGGTAACCTTCAGACGTTTTCTTGTTAGCGGGATATATTTTAGTGGAGTGTCCTAGATGAACCGTGCTAGTCGTAGAAAGTATCGCGTGATCAGCTGAAATTCATTTCTCGCGAACAATAAATCGAAGGAATAGGTCAGGATAGGTGAGCTGTCTCTGCGTCGAAGAAAATGATTAGACTCGTTACTTATTTGTTACCAGCATCGATCTGCAAGACCTTCCCTGTTACGTTAAAAAATACAGAACGCATCGGTTCTAGCAGGAAGCCTGTGGAAGCTAAGTTCAAGTACAAATTTCAACGAGTTAGATCCTCAGAGCTGAGAAACTGCTTGACCAGCGTCAGAATAGGAGCACCTGTTGGCAGATCGGGAAAATCGCCAGCGCTCCAGGCGACGTCCAAGTGACGGAATTTCAGAGGCCTCTTCGATTGAGTGCAGCGTTGAAAGTTACTCTTTTTACTGCTGAAGAAACAGGCTAGATTTTCCACTTAAGAGAGTGGAAAGATGGAGGCGTACCTTGTCGAGGCCCGAGGCCATGATCAGAAAGGCTGATGGACCCTGATGTCCCCTGTCTGTCTTCGAAGTAAGTTTATTCACCGATTGGTAGATATCGTCGCCTTCTGTTCGCCCTTCGTGGAACTGAAAATCTTCTCTGCGTATCCTGGATATCTCGAAAGGATCGCCCATTGTCTCGCCACAGGCTTGGAGCTTTTCCACGTTGCTCACTAGACGAGCTACTATATTGTCCATGGCGATCTGGAATATGAAGGGTGAACGTGCTTCGTGCGGTACTTAGTGACTGTTAGCGATACAATTTGGGCATAGACAGTCAGAGATTTGCTCTCGAGTGGGTAACAATCAAAGGGTTAAATTTGTCAAAGGCTTAACTTTGTCAAAGGCTTAATAGACAAAGGGTTAAATATACCAAAGGTTTAACAGTCAAAGAGTTAAATTTTCGAAAGATTCAACACTCAAAAGGTTAAATTTGTCGAAGATTTAACACTCGGAGGGTTGAATTTTCCAAAGGTTTGACAGTCAAAGTTTTAAATTTGCCAAAGATTTAACATTCGCAAGATTAAATTTGCCAAAGATTTAACACTCCCAGAATTAAATTTGCCAAAGATTTAACACTCGAAAGGTTAACTTTGTTAAAGAATTAACACCCAAAGGGTTAAATTTTCCAAAGGTTTGACAGTCAAAAGGTTAAATTTGCCAAAGATTCAACTCTCAAAGGGTTAAATTTCCCAAAGATTTAACACTCACGAGGATTAACTTTGCCAAAGTTTTAACACTCGAAGGATTAAATTTCTGAAAGTGTTGGAAACTAAATTTTCACTTGGTTTTTCAAATCAGAAATTTCAAGCGAATTATAGTATATTGATATCAAAGGGGTAAATTTCACGACTGTTTCAAAGTACTCACCGAGTATCCCCGCCCAACAGTGAGCATCGCGTGGTGGGTGAGCGTGGCGACGGTGAAAATGTGTGGATTAACCGAGCAAAGTGCCATTTCTTTAATGTGACAGAGGGCATCAGCCATTGCTAGCCTGCCTTCGGCGTCCGTATTCCCGACACGTACCCTCACACCAGATTTCGCGGTGATCACCTCGTCAGCGACGTAAGAATTCTCACCGATACTGTTCCTCACCACGCACAGAGCAGCCACAGCCTTCACGGTCGGCGGTTGCAATAAATTCACCACCTACAAACTCCCCCGAAAAAAACATCCCTCTTATTTAATTACTAAAAGAAGAAAATTCCACAAATCACGCTTCTCACTCGCGAAATGATTTTCAATCTCTCCGTTAAACATAAACGCAAATTACATCGGTAATATCGATTACCATTAGCCGTAGAGAATCGTGCTCTTAATCGCATCGACCAAATTGCCGGATTAATCGTCGCGAAATGAAACGCTCGACGTTAAATTCAGCGTCGGCGCATTATACGCGTATATCCATAATGTTCTCCGAAACCATCGTCGTTTCTCGAAACTGCCGTGTAACGCTTTTCCAGCCGGGACGAAGCTCTCGTAAACGCGTGGCGAAAAAATGAAAACAAAATAGGAAAAGAAAATTTTTAAAATAGATACACGAAGAGAGAGAGAGAGAGAGAGAGTGAAGGTTTCCACTGGCGAAAATAATATCGCGTCAGCACGGACGATCCCGTCCTATCGTAGTGAAGCACCTGCATGAATCCAGCGCACGCCGCCGCTCCACATTTGTCCCTCGACATACCGAACATCGTGCCCTCGATCTTGAGGTCGGTGCCGCCGGTGTCGTAAGTGACACCCTTTCCCACGAGCATCACCGTCTCTAGGATGCAGGCGGGATTAGGCGGCTCGTAGGTCAGGAAGATGATCCTCCCTGCGTGCCTGGGGATCATCGAGGCGGCGCGGTTCACGCACGCGAATAACGGGTACTCTTGGAGTAGGGTCTCTTGGTCTGATACCACTTGCATCGTCACGTTTGTGCCGCAGAACAACTCTGCCAGGTACTCTTCGACCCTTGGCGGGGCCATTCTTTCTGGGTCTGCGCCACCTGAGAGGAATTTAGTAGGAATTGTACGATACTGCGGTAATGGATTGGTCAACGTATTTAACGGGTAAATTTCTTGCAATTTTTTAACACTTTTGATTGGGGCCATTTTTTAAGGGTCTGTATTGTGTAACAATAAGAGGAATTTAGTAAGAATGGTACTGCAGGTCTAATGGTTTAATTGGTCAATATTTTTAAGGGGTAAATTTATTGCAATCTTTTAACACTTCTGACTGGGGCCATTTTTTAAGGCCCTGCACTGTCTAAGAGGAGTTTAGGAATTTAGTAGGAATTGTACTATTGGTCAAACGATTTAATTGGTCAACACATTTAATGGGTAAATTAATTGCAATCTTTTAACACTTCTAATTGGGGCCATTTTTTAAGAGCTTGACTTGCTTAAGAGAAATATGGGAATTTAGTAGGAATTGTACTATAGGTCAAACAGCTTGATTGGTCAACATTTTTAAGTGGTAAATTTATTGCAATCTTTTAACACTCCCGACAGGGGCCATTTTTTAAGGCCCTTCACTGTCTAAGAGGAATTTGGGAATTTAGTAGGAATTGTATCATAGGTCAAATGGACTAATTGGTCAACACTTTTAAGGGATAAATTCATTGCAATCTTTTAACACTTTTGATTGGGGCCATTTTTTAAGGGTCTGCATTGTATAACAATAAGAGAAATTTAGTAGAAATTGTATTAGATGTCGAATGGTATGATTGGTCAACATATTTAAGGGGTAAATTCATTGCAATATTTTAACACTTCTAACTGGGGCCATTTTTTTAAGAGCTTTCACTGTCTAAGAGAAATATAGGAATTTAGCTTGATTAGTCAACATTTTTAAGTGGTAAATTTATTGCAATTTTTTAACACTCCCGACAGGGGCCATTTTTTAAGGCCCTGCACTCTCTGAGAGGAATTTAGGAATTTAGTAGGAATTGTATCATAGGTCAAATGGACTAATTGGTCAACACTTTTAAGGGGTAAATTCATTGCAATCCTTTAACACTCCTCACTGGGGTCATTCTTAAGGGTGTACATTGTCTAAGAAGAATTTAGTAAAAATTATGCTAGATGTTAAATTGGTTGGCTGGTCGACATTTTTAAGGGGGTAAATCTATTGCAATTTTTTAACACTCCTGGTTGGGACCATTTCATTGTCTAACAATAAGAGGAATTTAGTAGGAATTGTACTATATACAAATGGTTTGGTTGGTCAATATTTTTAAGAGGTAAATTCATTGCAATCTTTTAACACTCCTTACTGGTGTCATTTGTTGCTTACTGTTTTTTAACGCTCTTGACTAGCTGTTATAACTCGAGAAACTTTTTTAAAGTCAAGAAGCCCATTAAAAGCATGCTCTTCATTTTATGTGAAAAATCGAAACGAGATGTTCCTCGGTAAGTTAAGGAGTAACACCGTCACAATTTTTTAAAGCTCCCGACTCACTATAAAGCAAGGGGCTAATAATAATAAAGGGTGAATCCATTACAATCTTCCAACGTTCTTGACTCGCTATAATAAAGCAAAGGGATAACAATAACTCAGGAAATTATATTTTTAAGTCAAGAAGGCCACTAAAGGTTTTACTCCTTATTTTCCATGAAAAATCTAAACGAGATTTTCAGCAATGAAATTTGAAATTACTCACTTGTTATTTGAAAAATTGAATTCCTGGTATAGTAAAAGTTTGTTGCTATTATACAGAGTGCAGTATTAACGTAACAACACCATAGAAAGTGCAACGTCAACTCTCACTTCTTACGTACAGCCGAAACACGAGTTCTCGCCATTACACAGAGTGCAAAGTTGAGTTATCGTTATCACGGAATACCGTCTCTTAAATTTCTCGAGATTTACACCTTCGGCGATTTTCTGGTAGGAGCAGCTTTATCGAACGTTCGCGGCGGTGCGTCGAATCGAGGGGACGAAATAAAAGCAGCACCGGTGCGTGGTTATTCACGCCACGAAACTCCATCAATGAGCCCCGCGCGCGCGTATTTTCCATTCTCCGACGAAATAACGAACAGCTTAAATTCCAACTCTCTTTCAAAAGACTCAACTTTCGCAATTTACAGACTAACTCTCGAGCTATTAAAAATTACGTCGAAAGAGAGCGCGCGCGATATTCTCCATTGTTTCGCTCGGAGAAAATTCGTCTGACCATGAACGATCCTTTCCACTTTACCACTTCGACCATTATTTCCACCGTTATCATTCGTCACCTCGCGGTACAATTTGCGCGCGAACGATTCCAAGGAAAAAGCGAGAATTCCAGCTTACCGAGTAATTCCATTAGAATTATCCCCGCCTTACCTGTTCCACCTTTTCATCGCTTCCAGATACGTGTGGGGAAAATATTCCGCGGTCACATTTTCCACCGAAGAAATTTATAGCGAACCGGTCGAAAGGAAAAAAAAAAAAAAATTCAGCTTGGAAATGAAAAGGAAACGGGGATAATTGTTCCCGAAGCGTGACGAGGGCCAAGAGAGTACGACCTGGTATTTGAAAAAAGTGCATCGGTGGGACGTGTCCCGACGTAACGTCGCGCGAAAACGTATATACGCAACATTTTCCCCGCTTAATTAAACGCCCGAGATTCTTGGAGGAACGTGGAAGCGGAACGGCCGGAAATTTACATACCCACGGCCGCGAAGAACGCGAAGGAAACGTCGAACGCGCCATTTTCGCGACGGAGGGAAAAAGGAAACAGCGGCTCCTCGAAAATGGACAACTTTTAAACTGGAAGAGGCGAGTTCGCTTGGTGTTTCAACGGAGAAGATTTCAAGTGCAACGTTTCCTCTGCTTTTAATTGTCTCTGATAATTGTACCTGCGTTTTTGTGAAATTTGTTTGAATTGAAAATTGGTGGGAGGAGTAGTGAAGTTTGAAGAAGGAAATTAGCGCTGACTTTTGGTTGTACGTTTGAAAGACTCGAGATTAGAGTGACAAGGGAACTTTGGTAACTTGACAATTTTGCAAATTTGTAGACATCGATAGAAGTGCCGTGCAATTTTTTTTTGTTTGCTATTTTCTGATTTTTTGTCTGGTTTTTAATCTGTGTTTTCCTATTTTCATGTGTATTTTGAAAACTATTGTTAGAAAAAAGGTTTGACGACTTTTTATGCCTCTACAATGCTACGCAATGAAATTGTTAAAAATTTAATAACAGTAATGTTAATAATATTATTGGAATATTTAATAAAATCATCTTATAATATTCGCTTAGATAAAAAGGTGTTCCCTACCGCGTTTATTTAAAAAAAAAAGCTTCAATCTTCTTGTCAGGAGGAAAAAAAAAAGCAGGCGAAATTGGCGAACTTTTCATTACACATCTAAGAGATTGAATACCCGACTGAGACGCAAACCCGGTTGACAGGTTAAATTCCACGAGGAAATCTTCTGTCTATCCACGATAAAGCAAGAATTCCAGAGAAAAATCTATTCGAATGAGAGCAGCTAATGTCGAAATTTCAGGGATATTAAAATAGCCTGGAAGAATGGCTGGCTAAAAGGGAGAAATGTGGAGTTGGTTCATGCTCGGGCGGATACGAGTCGAAACGAGGCAGGAGCAGCCGCGAGCGATTTTTCCTTCTCTTCCCTCGCTCGTTCTATTTCTCCGAGGGAAGTCCGCGAAAACGGAAGTTGAGGCCATTCTTCGGCGGAGTCCGCTCGATAAAGCAGCGGGAATCTCGGCCCGGGGAACGACTTACCGATGTCCCTCGCGACGTATCTTCCGCTCTCGAGCGCCGAGGCAAGCTTCACGATACCCTGAAGCTTCTTAGCGCAAATCGGACTCCAGACGGCCAGTTGGCACGCCTTGTAGCATCGGTCCGGGCATACCTCTCGCACCTCCAGCGGCTGCACAGAACCGGAAGTCGCGTTCGTTTCTGCGGAATCCACTTATAGCTAATTAACCTTAACGATTAGTTTTTCTTACATTTTGCGGAATGGGTGAGTGGTTAATTTAATCAAAGTTACTCAATCCATTTTCAGTCCCTATAGATTCGATTCACACTCGAAGAATCTTTCATATAGAAAATTTTAATTGAATATCTTGAAAAATTTGCCGACTAGAAATTAACACCTTTGTTAACCCTTTCGATCGAATCGGTTGACATGGGCCGATTCGATTCACTTTCGAAGAATCTTTTACACAGAAAATTTTATCTACATATTTCAGAAAATGTATCGAGTAGAAATTAACACCTTTTTTAACCCTTTCAGTCGAATGGTACGATTGGAGCCGATTCGATTCACTTTCCAAGAATCTTTTACACAGAAAATTTCATGTAAATATTTAAAAAGATGTAGTGGCTAAAAATTAACCCCTTTGTTAACACTTTTAATCCCATAGATCAATATGAGGATTCGATTCACACTTCAAGAATCTTTCACACAGAAAATTTTTCATCTGAATATCTCAAAAAATCTATTGACTGGAAATTAACCCCTTTGTTAACACTTTTAATCACATAGGTCAATATGAGGATTCCATTCACACACTCGAAGAATCTTTCATACAGAAAATTTTTTATCTAAATATCTCAAAAAATTAACCGACTAGAAATTAACCCCTTTGTTAACCCTTTCGATCGAATCGGTTGACATGGACTGATTCGATTCACTTTCGAAGAATCTTTTACACAGAAAATTTTATCTACATATTTTAGAAAATGTATCGAGTAGAAATTAACCCCTCTTTTAACCCTTTCAATCTAATGGTACGATTGGAGCCGATTCGATTCACTTTCCAAGAATCTTTTACACAGAAAATTTCATGTAAATATTTGAAAAGATGTAGTGGCTAAAAATTAACCCCTTTGTTAACACTTTTAATCCTATAGGTCAATATGAGGATTCCATTCACACACTCGAAGAATCTTTCACAGAGAATATTTTTGATCTGAATATCTCAAAAAATCTGTTGACTGGAAATTAACCCCTTTGTTAACGCTTTTAATCCTATAGGTCAATATGGGCCGATTCGATTAACACTCGAAGAATCTTTCATACAGAAAATTTTTCATCTAAATCTCTCAAAAAATCAACCGACTCGAAATTAACCCCTTTGTTAACCCTTTTAATCCAATGGCATTCGATTCACAATCGAAAAATCTTTCCAGCAAATATCGCCAGTTACAGAAAATTTCATCTAAATATCTAAAAAAATATAGCGATTAGAAATTTTTCAATAGAACCTCAACCTAATTTTGAACAACATACGAGCGTCTTACGCCGGGAGCAAGAGACTTGAGAAATCTCTTTAGTACGCACGCTGCCACCGTCGATGCACCGTCGACACAAAATAACCAGCATCCTGTGTCAAAAATCGATACCGTTCCTGCAGGATCGACGACTACCACGACGAAAATCCTCGTGAAAATCACGTGTCTGGGCGAGAGTTACGAATTGGTCGCACACGGCACGTCCCTCACGGTTTTCTCGTGGCAGCGAACGTGTTAACTGTTACACTACGGTGGACCACAGTCGATCCTCCATTCACTCGTTTTACGCTCTTCTATACGATAGTTCAGCCATACCTCCTGCATGCATTCACACGTTCAGTCTAAAATTCACGTGGACCGTTTGTCACGTGCTAGAGAATTTTCAATCGCCATTCACGATAAAATTCTAAATTTCGAACATCTTTCAAATCTTCTCCACTTCACTTCTAAACACTATATCCTTCTAATTCTTTGCTCGATCCAAGTGGTTAGCAATATTTCAAAGAAATTTCCATCGAACGACGAACGCACCAAGATTTGTCATGAATTTATCAGTCACCCTGTACACTATCCTACACACAACCTGATCGTCGTCTAATTACATTTTCCCCCCCGGTTTCGTCGGTGAATGAAAGGACAACGACGGAAGGTCAGTGTCGACCGGATCGATGGTCAATTCGAGACTCGCGTGAGTCAAACAGCTCGACATTAAAATTTTACAGCGACGACGGAGTGGACAGAGGGGCGGAAGTAGGTCGTAGAGACTCTCGAACGAGCAGTGACCGTGGAAACAATAACCCCATAAATTATCCACCGTCGATCCTACGCTCGCCACTTCGACATTCTATACACACTATAAATATTCCGGCAATTAAACCTGGCGAAAACAGTCCGCTGGCTGTATTATCGCACGAACTAAAGAGGAAAACAGGCGGTCTGAAAGAAACCAGTCTCGGCTGAAAGATCGATACGGAATTAACCCCCAGGGAGCGAGGGACGATGTCCAAAGGCTATGGAGTTCTTCTGGCGACGAAAAACCGTGCGACAGCACTTCTGCTGAAATCTACTATAAGCCATTAATAACGACAAAAACGATGTTGTCTTAAGGAGGTGGAAAAAATTGCTGACAAAAATCGCCGCTGCGCGCGGTGTTTCAAAACAGCTGTCCGACGGCGTGAAACTGTATTTCATGGCAAGAGTGTGTAGATCGTTGGGAACAAATGAGATTATCGAAGATTCTTCGTGTGTTTGGTGTATTCGAAATGGAAACTGAATTGTTTCAATTCTGACAATTGAATTCGAACCGTTGAAACTTAAATATTCCAATTTGAATATTTAAGTTTGAGTGGGTTGTATATTTAAGATTGAATGGTTTGAATTTGATTGGCTGACCATACATTTTTTAATATTCAAATTCGAATATTTATATTTACAGGAATAAGGTTTTACTAAGTATCTATTCCGCTAGTTACAGAGATAACACCACGAGTAAAACTAGTTCGTAGGGCCTACACTGGCCTTATCGTACCTTATCGTATCGTATCGTAGTTACTTCCAGACTGATTTCTCGTGTCGCGGGCACGTGCTCTTATCCCTCAGTCCGAACGTTCCCGACATTTTTCCTAAATTCGGCATGTTTGGATTACCGTTTTTGCCTGCCCTGTCGCGGTACGTCAACGCTCATATACACGCACACACACTTATGCCTGCCGGCACGTGCCGATCAGCCGGTAAATACACCGAGAAGATTCGATTGTCCGTGTTCGCGGTTCCTTTTATCATGCCTGCTTCCCACATATTTGAACGGTTCGCACTTGATTGGTTGAATATAAATTTTAGAATTTGAATATTTAAATTTGGGATAGCTGGAATTTAATTGGCAGAAGTTAAATCTTGAATAGTGTCAATCCGATTGACTGAACTTCAAATTCGAATTCGCCAGAAACATCATGAAACATCCTTCAGAACCTGATTCTGCACACCTAAAACTACCAATTGATGGAAAAACTTGGAAATTCCTTGAGACGACCTCATCTAAGTACCTTCATTGTCCTCGGGAGTCTTTTTTCAGCCACATAAATTTCCCAAGAAAGAAGAAAGAAAAAAGGAAAAAATCGTTTACACCAGACACCTAGCGCGAACGAAGAGGTTAACGTACGCTCGGGAAAACGGAAGCCGTGGAAGAAGTTGGTGCCGGCTGAGGAATGTACCGGTTCCACCGGAATATT